TATATATATAATAACCGACCAAATCAAGGAGCAATATGAATCATGATAACTGAAGAAAATAAAATACCGAAAGAGTGATTGTTGGAACCTTTAATACTCCTACTTATGGTTGGAGTCGCGGTTATAGTTGGGCAAAGGTACATTGCCGGACTCAATGTGCCTGAGATCTTCAACAAGGTTCTCATAGTGGAGCTTCACCTCCTCCGCTGACTTCCCGCCCCCGACCGCTTTCGCCACTTTCTTCCACCGTTCCGGCGTCTCTTCGCCGTACACGGCGAGTGCTCTCTCGAATAGCTTGTTCTGTTTCGGCGTCCATGTCGACGAATCGCCGGTGCCCCTTGATCCCATTTCCAGCCTCAAGCAGAAGAAGCAGAGAAAGAGAGAGAGAGAGAGAGGTGATAGATTGAGGAAATAGTGAGTTGGGGTGATGTTTAAGTAGTGAAGGGGGAGAAGAGAGAGACGAGAGATGATTATCTGGCACTGTTTCATTGTGATCGAATCTAATCCCTTCTTGTTGTGCCAAGTGGCTCCACCTCCACCTCATTGTAGCCTCCACACTTATTCCTCATATATATGGAGTTTAATTATTATTTTAATTGATTTATCTATTAATTGAGTTTTTTTTTATGTATTTATTTATAGAACACAATACAAAGTTGTTTATGAAGATTAAATCAATTTAGGTGGGTGATAGATAATTAATTGAAAGGGGGTGTTTTCATAGTTTCTTAAATATTTGCTAAAGAGTGTTTTTGACGGGGCTTTTGAAAACTTCTTTTTTTTTTTAGGCTAATAAGGGTGTAAGCGAGTCATGCTTGTTCGTGAGTCAGTTCGGACTTGGCTTGATAAGTGGCTCGTGAGCTGAGCTCGCACAAATCGACCTCAAGCCAAAAAGAGCTAGCCTTCTTGACAACTTTTCTCAAATGCTTTAGAAAGAGTTAGATAATTATTAAAATTAATTAAATACATAAATAATACTTAAAAGGTATAGTTTTATATTTAATGGTTGCCTGAACTTCAAAAAAATCTAAAAAATTAGAGTAAATGAAAATAAATCAAAATGAGCACATGTTGATATTTGTGCATAAACTTTGATTTGGATGAACCAATAATTGTACTAAACTTGCCTAATTTGACTTTCCATCTATCACTCACTTTTCTATCAATGACAAGCGAAAATATTTAATTAGAAGTCATAATCATGTAATTATTTTCTAGGTATATGTAAAAGAAAAAATATAAAGGTACCAACTTGTCATTTTTTTATTAGAATGGTTGTTAAATTATTTATGCCAAAGCATTGAGATTGATGTAATTAAGATCAAATTATTCACATGGTTGCTCTTAACAAGACTTTTATGTCAAAAAATCATCATTATTATAAGCGTAATTAAGTTAATTACATAAACTTGTTTATGATTTATGAATATAAAATATTGTTCTTTAGAAATATTTTTCGCTAATTTGGCCTTGTAATTTTGTGTAATTATAATCAAATCATAATTATTGATATTGGTAGTAGTAAGCAATTGCTTTCACAATAAATTAGGTTTTATTTTATTGTAGATTTTAACGCAAAATAATGGAGGTTATTGTTATAAAGCTGGATAAGGATATGCAAATTATTGCACATGGACACCTGTGTGAATCGAGATAATTTTGCGTACATCATCTGTATGTGAGTTGCATACGGGTCATGGACGCGATACCGCCTATGTATTTTTTTTTTTGTTTTTTGTTTTTTTTACGGGTGTAGTGCGTCTGTCATCCATATGTAGCTCGCATACAGACGAAAATTTTGCGTACATCGTCTGTATGTGAGCTGCATACGGGCCATGGACGTGATATACCGACTATGTATTTTTATTTTTATTTTTTTATAGGTGTAGCGCGTCTGTCATCCATATGTAGCTCGCATACAGACGACGTACGCAAAATTTATTCGTGGAAATTTAAGTGAGACATTATCATGGAAATTAAATTGGAGATTTATAACTAAGAATTTAATTTTGATTACTTTGTCCATAGACAAACTATTTCAACAGGCGTTCGTTGCTCACTATACTTAATGGGCCTACTTTGTTACATACCGGGCCTTTCGTTTAAGAATCCTTGTAGGGCTACAATAAAAGCCAAGGGTCTATTAATGAAAGGGGAATTTACACACATGCAAACAGATCTTCTGTATTTACATATTTACCATCTAATATTTTACATTCAAGTGTCATAAAAAGTATGTGAGCAAATGTTCGTTTCAATCTAACTTTAAAAAGCAAGTAAAAATGATATTTTCGATGTAGTGTCATATATTTAAGTGATATGTATCTAAATATGAATAAAATTTAATATAATCATAAATAATGTATATGTGGTACTATAACAGTAACAATAAATGTAATTTATTGAGAAGAAATAATGTATTATTATAATAAAAGATATATGAGTACTCACCTCAATGACCTTCTCTTATCTCCAACGAAAAACCTAAAGTCGAATGCATAGAGGATTATTATCTATTTATTATATGTTAGTCTTATTATTAGAAGATAATTAGCATTTTATTTGACCATTTGATGTATTGTGTAATACTAATTACTTCATTATTATCATCCTAATCACATTTTTAATTTAATCTTTTATTTTAAACAATTTAGGGTTTAAGAAAATTATATGAAGACATATAAACATACAAGCTGGTGACTCCGAGGCTTTAAAAATTACAAATGAAAAACAACCTTGAATTGGAGGAGTCCCTGTGTTTGGAAAAAGATATAAATGAGGTATAGTATTCAACATCGAGAATCTAGCGAACACCGCCCACTTTTGCAGCCACCAACCACCGCTCGTCGACCTCCGTAGACCATCTTGAGCCTCCTCTACTTTTTGTAGCGAAGCCACTTACGAAGTCGCGATGTACGTTGTGAAGTAATAAAACACTGTGCGGAATAACAACTAACATTACGAAGTAACAAAGTATCCTACAAAGCAATGTACCCCGAATGCAATATAAAAACACATCTCAAATATAGTGTAATGATACTCCGAAGATGGTTCAATGTGCACAACACATACAGTGTAACAACGCATCTCAAATACGATGTAATAACACACGACGAATGTGGTGTAATAAGACAACCTTAATATGGTGCAATGATGCAACCCACGTACATTTAACAACATATCGAAAGATGGTGCGACGACACATCAAGAATGTTGTGTTGCGTGCCTTGCATACGGTGCAACAACATGCCCTGCATTCGGTGCAAAAATCGACTCCCAAACCAGGTGTAATAATGCACCAAGCAACAATTGCTTAGAACATTCATAGTTGAAAAATTGTGGATTTCTATGAACTTTCCAATGAATCTTCTTGTAACCCATCTCCACGACTTATGTGATCAACTATACCTACGTGGTCCACAACTCCTACAACTTCCAACTCCAACCTACGAGGCTTGCAAACATTATCACAATTCATGCAGCTCCAACTTCGACATGTGCAACCTACAACTCTCATTTCCAGCCCATGCGCCCTATATAGATTATCACAACTCATGTAGCTACAACTCCAACATCTGCAACCTACAAATATTATCTCAGCTCATGCAACTCCTAACTTTGAACTTTGCAATCTATGAAAGTTATCTCAACTCATGCAACTTCAAACTCCGACATCTACGACCTGTGAACATTATCTTAACTCATGCATCTCTCAACTCCAACCTACGAAGGTTATCAAAGCCCATGTAGCTCTCAACTACAACCTCTGTAGTCTACGAAAGTTCTCTAAGTATCTAAATTCATGAAGCTCCCAACTTCGATCTCGACGAACTATAAACGTTATCTCATATCCTGTAGCTCCCTACCACGATTTTGTGGTCAACCAACACTCCTTATGCAACCATTTACGATTCACATGACCAACACTTCCCATGGG